CTGAGCAGAGAAGGTAGGTGGGCACTCGACGGTGCATGTCTACGGCTGGCACGGGAAGAGGCGCCTGGTGGCGCGGCATACTTTGGGCAATTCAGCATGTGAGGTGCTTCCAGCTGATCTTACAGGTATCGACCTCAGTGCGCTGAGATTTGACAGCGTACGCGGTCAACAGGGAGGGTGCTTCTGCACGGCACCGAAATTGGACACGTGCAAATGCTAGTGGCGCACGTGCCAGTACCATGCTTTAGAGCATGGGCTGGCCAATGCAGAGCAGCTCGTTACCGACCGCCTCTCCCACAAGCCGCTCCGCGCACCCACTGCGAACCTTGCGCCGACAGGCTGCCGCCGCGAGGGCTGCCGACATGGGCCTCCCCCTGTGGGGCCTGCGGCGGTGGGCTTAGATCGCACGACCGCAGTTGCCTCCTCCCCTCCACCTCATCATCCGACGGTTCTCTCAATTCTGCTGCCTTCAGCGTCGATTGGCGTCGATGAGTGTTTGGGAGTGGATGATGAGATAGTATCGCCGATTTCGTGTCGGCTAGCGTCGAGTTAGCGTCGACTAGCACCGATTCGCACGAGTCGACAAGATGGTATGCGAGGCTCCCATGAGTCGCCACCGAAGATAGTTCTGACTCATTCTCCTCCCTCGTCTCCCGCGTCGCGTCACACTCCTCCTCCTCGTGCCCCTCCCCGCCCATTCAGCGCTTGCTCGTCCATCCTCCCTGCAGTCTCATCCTCACTGTCACCCTCCTGTCTCCTCTCCTCCTGAGCCATATGTCCTCTCTCTTGTGCTGTTTTCTCTCTCTTCCTCTCTCTCGTTCACCCTCTCTCTCTCTTTCTCTTTCTCTCTCTCTCTGTCTCCTTTTTTGTTGTTTCTCTCTTCATCTCTCTGTTATTATATTTTTGCTATTTCTCTCGCCCTCTCTCTCTCACTCTCCTGAATCATGGCCGCCTTCCCCCTCCTCCCGCAACGTGCGAATCCAGCAAAAAGAGAGAGAGAGAGAGCTGGCTCGGAACATCCAGAGTAGGGTATGGTTTGGTCTCGCGCGCACGTTGAAAAAAAAAACGAACGAGCCCCCCGTGCAAGACGAAGCTGGCGCATGAACAACGCTTGGATGCCATGTGGAGCCTCAAAGGATCTCGAAGCTGGTTTGGCAAACGCGGGAGCGAGTTGGTAACCCGCTCATCGTTTCGTTGAAGCGGGTCGGGTTCAAGTTGTGGTAACGGAAATGGCATCGCCTGGTTAGGGGGATATTGTGAGAAGGGGAGCGCTGATGTTTGCAGCTTGCGGTCTGATAGCATTCGCTTGGCATTGCTCGGACGTGTGCATTTTTCTCTCGGCGAGGACCATCGAGGAGCATCCTTGATCATTTGGCGAAAAAACCACGCACGAAACCAACAAAAACAGGAAATGGACGTCCGAGCGATGGCCAGTCGTCGTATCCCCACCGGGTCCGCTGGGGCCGTTGTTTGGCCCAGGGGCGCATGCCGAGCCCGTGGCGCTCCCGATGCCCGGTGCGTTCTCCTGATGGCATCCGGCGTTCGCGACGCCTCCGCTGCCGCCGCTGTGCTGCACTCGCAGGCCCTCGGGAGCGGAAAAGAGGGGGGTGATGACTAGGGGGGGGTGGATATCATGGCGGGGGTCATGATATTTTCCCAGAATTCATGGCGCCTCTTCTTATTTCATTACGTCCCTGTCCCCCCCGCTCTGCCGCGCACATGCCGCCAGTCATGATTTGCACCCCCCCCTCTTGGACACCCCTCTCTTGGCTGCTCCCGATGATACCGATGTCCCATCGTGCCGCGAGGTGCAGACATGTTGCCATGTCGTGGGAGCAGGTCGGTGATTTCGTGGCAGAGGGAGAATGCGTCTCTGGCCCTTGGGGAAAAGAACAGGGTTCTATGAACTCACACAAGGGCTGGACGAGGCGATCTTCTGCGCTGACGGGGGGGGCGGGGGGGGATCTCAGCAAAAACGGTTGCATTTTTTGTCATTAGATTTTTCCCCCATGCCTGCCCCCCTTTGCGAGTGCGCCACACCAACAACCTCGGCGAACATCCCAGAGACCTGGGAAATTTCCAATAGTCATTGCCCCTACCTCAGCCGCTCCATTATCCACCTTCCCTCGCTCCTTTCTATCCCTTCTCTCTCTTTCTCTCTCCCCCACTTCTCCCTCAGCGCCCTCACCGTCATCATTCCCATCGCCCCCCCACCCCACCCCTCTCATCCTCATCGTCCTCCCTCATCGGCCTCCTCCTTGCACTCTCGTGTTCCCTGATCCTCCTCGTTTTCCTCAGCGTCCGCTGTCCTTCCCATCCTCCCGCCTTCGGTCGCCCTTTCCGAATTCAATCGCTTCGCTCATTCCGCCGGCCCATGTTGCATGATCGCTACTGCTTCGCCGTGGGCCCGGGGCCATTGTGGCGCCGCCGACGAGGAGGAAGATGAGGATGGGGGAGGGGATGTGAGGAGGAGGAGAGGATGAGAAGGAGAGGAGGAGGATGAAGAGAAGTAGGAGGAGGAGGAGGAGGAGGAGGAGGAGGAGGAGGAGGAGGAAGGGGAAGTGGCGGAGGAGGAAGCCTCTCGTTGGCATCTTGTGTTGCTCTTGGGGCCAAACAGGGTCGTCGTCAATATGCTTCTTTGGGAGGCCTCTTGGGGTCTTTTGAGAAGCCGTTCGGGGGCTCCTGGGAGGCATTTTTGAACTTCTGGGGCCTCTTTTGGGCCTCCTGGTGGCCTGGGGCCTCTTGGGGGCTTCTTGACGGCATCTTGGCGCCTCTTGGGGGCCTCTTGGGGGCCTCTCGGGGCCTCCTGGGGCCCTCTTGGGGCGGAAGGCCCGAGTTTTCGGTTCGTGGTCCCCCTCTTGGGCCCCTCTTGGGGCCGTCTTGAGCGCCTCTTGGGCCGTCTCGGGGCCCTTGAGGGCCCTCTTTGGGGCCCTCTTGGAAGCCTCTTGGCCCGTCTTGGGGCGCTCTTGGGGGCCTCTTGGGCCGTCTTGGAGCATCGGATGGCCGAAACGGCGACAAGGCCAAAATCCTTCCAAAACCATTGTAAAATTTACGATTTTGGCCTGTCGGGCCCTCTTGTGAGGCCTCTTGGAGGCCACTTGGAGGCCTCTTGGGCCGTCTTGGGGTCATCATCGGCATCTTGGAGCGCTCTTTGGGCGTCTCGGGGGCCTCTTGGACCGTCTGGGGGACCTCTTGGGGCCCTCTTGGACCGATTTGGAGCCCTCTGGGGCTCCGAAAAAGAGTTCCGGCATCCTTGAACAGGACTTGCCGGGAGTCTGCCGGGTTTTTTTTCGTCCGGGGACCCCCAGGGCCCGCCCCGCGCGCGCGAACTAGAAAGGTTGTTTACCAGTTACCGGAGATCTTAGCACGCCTCTGGCCCGTTGGGCCGGCGAATTCATCATCATTCTTCGGTTCGTTCCGTCTGCGCCTCGCCATCGCCATCGCCATTCGTAGAAAATGGAATCACCTACTCACCACCATAATCATCATCCTCATCGTCATCCTCATCATCATCATCATCATCATCATCAGCAGCAGCAGCAGCAGCATTTGCATTTGCATCAGCACCAGCATCATCAGCATCAGCATCAGCATCAGCATCAGCATCAGCATCATCGGCATGCGGCATGCAGCATGGGCATGGGCATGCTCATCATCATCGTGATCACCATCACCATCTTCACCATCATCACCATCCTCATTATCATCATCATCATCATCATCATCATCATCATCATCGCCGCCATCGTCCGCATATTGAACCTCATAGTCGTGTCAGTAGCATGACATGGACAGCATACAGACCGAACAGCATGCTCGTCCTGATCATCGTAATCGACGGGGTCTTGAAACACATGCTTGTCATCACCATTGTCATCATGCTTGTCACCACCATTGACGTCCATACTTGTCACCACGATCGTCATCGTCAGCATCTCGAACACAGACGCGGCAGCACCATCGCTATCGAGAACATGTTTGACAACACGTTCGTCATCACCATTGTGGTCGGCAGCGTATGAAGATACATGTTCGCCATCACCATCGCGATCGGTACCAGCTTGAATCCCACACTACTGATCATATGCCTCAGTCCCAGTGTGAAGGACACACGTTCTATCACCCTCGTCATAGACAACCACGTAAACCACATTCTCGCCATCACCATCGTCATCGGCAGCGTCTTGGAACACATTCTCTCCATCATCATCGTCATCACCATCGCCATCACCGTGGACATCGACATCACCCTAGCCTCCTCCTCTCCAGCGCCCATTTCGATAGATCCAATTGGACTGCTTCGATATTGATTCCGACCAGGTCGAGATACGGTCCGATTCCAATGTTCTGGCGGTGCGATGCGGCCCGATGCTTGCAGGGCGCTGGTGTGGATGGGATCTTAGCGCGGCCGATCCGACTCGAGTTCGGTTCCGTGCCGATGCAGCCCGATCCGACGCACGGTCCGATTCGATCCGATGTCCCGATTGGACTCTGCCTGGTCCCGCATGTCCCTCCGTTGGTCATTCTCATTCTTCAGGAGGGAAAAAACACACAGACACAATTAATCGTCGATCCCCTGTAAAATATGGGAAAATATGGGAAGTGGTGGGGAAGACATAAACCCAGAAAATATGGGGGAAATATGGGGAATATTGTTATTTGTGTGTATTTATTTGTGTGTCCTGGGGCCCCTTCAATTCTCCCCGTTCCTTCTCCCGCTCCTTCCCCTGCCGTTGCTCGCCCTCGTCTCGCAGGGCGCCGACCACACACCCGCGCCGATCCAGGCCCAGCCGGTCCTGGGCCCAGGATCGGTGTGCACATGCCCTCCTCGCCCAGCCAGGAGGGCGTGTGTACACCGATCCCAGGCCGGTAGCGGCGCAGGTGTCTCGTCGGCGTCCTCACCTCGTCCTCCTCTCGGTCCCCTGCCCTCCCGGCGCCCTTGCATCCACCAGCCGCTCCAGCGTCGAGCCGGCCGTGTGGCCCTGGGCGCTCGCTCGGCGATGGGCGAGGGGACATTTGCCGCTCACGACGGCGGCACGGCGCTGGAGCAGAACGGCGGCGCGCATGGCGGCGACGAGCTGCACCAGTATCGGAACCTGATCGTGGAGTTCGACGCAGGCTCTCAAGCTTCTTTTTTTTCTGCCTCCGGCAGGATGGGGCTGCTGGACTGCAAGGAGGAAGGCCCCCCGAGCCGCCTCGCAGACCTGGCACTGCCGCGGCCGCCAGGCCAACAGTGTTCTTCTGGTGCTCCCTGGGTAACGTTGACTCCGCCTCTTCGACGGATGACGGCTGCCTATCGCTGCTGCCAGACCCTACGGGAGCGGGAGGTTCCTGGTGATCCCACCTCGCGTTCTCTCGAAGACGGAAAACCGCCATAAACATAAATTTTGGCCAGGGGGGCCCAGCGCGGATCCAAGAAACCCGCGCGGAGCGCCAATAGTTCATGTTTATGATGTTTTCTTTATTTATATATATATATAAATATTCTCGGGTGGTGGGGATCCCTCGAATCATTTGTTTTGTGTGTGTTTCGGATCTCGAACAAGAGTAGACGGCATAAGCAGCAGTTCTCGGAGACCTACACTGAGTTCTTGGATCGGCGCCGGACGGACTCTGGCTGCGCCTCTGGCGGCCGCCCCATGTCGCGCTCCGCACGCCAGGGAGGGTGGGGTGTCAAGCGCTAGCCTGAGAGGTCCTCGCGGACCTCCGCAAGATTATGTTTATGCGCTTGTTTCGACTCAAAAACAAACGCACCACCCCACCTATGGCCCTCCATGTTGCGCTACGCTCACCTACGGCCCTTCATGTTGCGCTACGGTCCATCGGGCGTCGTAGCGCATACCACGCAAAAACCCACGCCAGATCTCCTGGTACACGCTAAGCCCCGTGGGGCCGTAGGTGGGGTGGTGGCGTTTGTCTTCTGGTCCATTGTTGCTCCTCGGGGTCATCCTGCCCCTGCTGTCCAGCTTGTCCTGCTCGTCCTCCTCCGTCTCCTCTTCCTCGATCTTCGTCGGAGTAGCTCGATATCTACACAACAACGTCGTGGTGTAGATGTCGAGCCGCGCTCCCACCTCGATTGTCGATCCGGGAGTCCTCGATCCTCGATCTTCTATCAAGTTGCTAGTCGCTAGTCTGTGCCACGGGGTCGCACGGCCTCGACGCGGTAGCGACTTATCGGTGCATGACATCCTCTGGGGGCTCCAACGGGTTTGGGCCCCAGGGCCCACGGCGAAGCCAGACCGAACGATTGTGTCGATAGCCTCCCCTGGCATCCTCGCGTAGTGAGAAAACACGACGCGAGGTTTTGAGTAGTTTTCTGCTTCTGGGGGCCCTTGCTGGGCCCCGGGAGACGTACCAACAAACACGATTCAGGATGAGCTGGTCCCGGGTAGGAGGCCCAGACCTCTGAATAGCTCGAGAGCGGATGCTCTTCAACATCGAATGGACCGTGCGGTCTCTGAGAAGCTTGAGCCGACGATTTCGAGGCAGGAGTTCGCAGAAGACAGCTGACTACAGCCGCGGCCGGTGCCGCCAGGCATCCTGGAGCCCGGCGTCGGGCAGCCCTCCGATCTCTACGTCGTGCGCCCCTTCCGGGCACCCTTGCGTCCCTGCGTCCTCTGTCGGGCACCTTTGCGTCCTTCGTCCAGCACCCTTTGTGTCCCTCGTCACGCGCCCCTGCGGTTTTCGTTAGTCAAGCTTGCGTCATTTGTCAAGCATCCTTGCCGCCATCCATTCGCGTTGCGTGCTTCATGTTGCTCTGGCGTCCTCCGTCGATTCCGAAATCAGCTGTAATCCCCTGCTGGAAGCGGAGGCGTGGGGTGCGTACGGATTTGCGGAGTCTTAGTCAGAGGAAAACGGCTGTGCCATTTTTCTTTCCCCCCCGCTCCCACTGTAGAAAGAAGTGTCCACGGTCATCGCCCGCACGTGTTCCTTCGCTGTCGCTGTGGCAACATAGTCGTGATACTGAATACACATCAAATAAGAAATGGGCCTGCCAGCATGTGCCTCATGAAAATGTCCTCTCCCCCCATGGCACGGCAGACGCACAGAAGCTCTTGAGCTTCTCAGAACCCCAAAAGATGGACAAAGCACGTGCCTGGAGAGTTCTTCTGGCAATATTTGTGTTGCACGCGTCGACAGCAGGATGTGCACGGGCAGCGACCTCAGGAATCGCACCCTGGCCTTGAGGAGAGGAAGGCCGAGCTGCGCACACTGCCCGCGCACGGGGAGACACTGCAGACGTGCATGCGTGTCGCCTCGCGCGCGCGAGGGAAGTCGCGCACTCGCGGGTGCTTTCCCGTGCGGGCCTTCGGCCGGGAACGGGGAGCCCTGCTCGGCCTGCCGGGGTGAAGCAGCCGCCCCCAGATGGTGGAGAGCCCGCCCTGTGGGACAGAAGCTGGCTGGGCCGGATCCTGGTGCTGCGGGTGCCCGGCGGGCTGATCTACATCGGGTCTGCGGGGAGGGCGGCGAGCGCCGGGAGGCACAGAGCAGTCATCAATTACACGTTGCCGCCGGGGGCCCGCCAGCATGCCGCTCCTTCGTGTTTTGTCAGAAGGCGTTGCATCGGTTCGGCTGTACTGAACGTGCCGATTCGGGGCCCCCGCAGCGGCTTGCCATGGATGATGATGCTTGATCTTCCCGGAAGAGCGCGAGGCTACAGTCAACCCGCATGACAAGAGTGGGCATCCTTACCAAGGGTACCCTTGCGACCTTGCCTCCTCGGTCCACCCTTCGCCACTCCTTGTTGCCCCGCCGCGCTCGAAGAGCTCCGACATGGGCGACATGGGCGTCCGAGGCCCCTGCATCCTTATCGCGCGTCGTTATGATACGGGTGGACTGTCCAATGTCCGAGTCGATGTGGTGTGCCTCCTCCCAGCCGCTTCTGTGCCACGCTGCGCCTCGCCGCGCGCGAGCCTCTCGGCTCTTGCCCCGGAGCCCTGGAGCCCGTGCCACGGGCACGCGCTTCGGCCGATCTCTCCGAGCGGGCTTCGTGGGTCGGCACAGTCGTCGTGTTCAGTTCGGCGGCGAGCGAGAGGGGTGAAGCGAGGAGGAGAAAGCCTTCTCTCAGGAGGCTCGGCAGTCCCCCGGGCCTTCTGAGAGGTTCCCTGAGCCTTCCCCGAGGACAAGACGAACACAGAGCTCCTCGGAAGGCCCGAGGGCCTCGGGGGAGTCCCCCCCGCCCTCTGAGAAGGCCTTCTCCTTCCCACTTCCCCCCCCTCGCTTGCCGCCGACTGGTGCTGCTCGCTCCTCGGGGGCGGCAGAGAGGGGGGTGATGACTTAGGGGGGGAGATATCGTGGCGTGGGCCATGATACTTTTTCTCTCGGATTTCATGGCGCCTCTTCTCATTTCACCACGTCCCTGGCCCCCCCTCTGGGCCGCGCACGTGCCGCCGGTCGTGATCTGCACCCCCCCCTCTTGGACCCCCCCTCTTCGGCCGCTCCCGAGCTCCCCCGCTTCCTTCATTCCCCTGCGGGCGCCGGCCTCGGGAGCAGACCAGACGTGGCCGTTGGCCACGGCCCGGCGCGTGCCGGCCCCTTTTGGGCCACGGCCCCGTGGGGTGCGGGGCGTTTGTTGTTGGTTGCGGGTGGTCCGCGTGGGACGTATAGTCAAGTCGGGCGTGTCCTTCGACAGGAGGGAACTCCATAAGTAGTCCAGATATAGTCTGGGGACGATGTCTTTTTACCACGTGTGCCTACTTTTGATACTCTTTGAGTGTTTTTTATTCCTGGTCGTCCTAAATACGCCTGCAGGAGCACATCCCTTACCTGAGCGTACAGTGGAACCCCCTGCCAAGAAACACCCTGCTTGCCTCCAGGGTGCCCTGGGTTCCTTGGGTTTCGATAGTTTTGCTCTGGGAAGCGTGACCCTCCCACGCCAAGAAAACAATGGACGTCCTGGGGTCTCAGGGTCGGGCTTCTTGTGGAAGGTTTCTTGTGGTCGGGCCCCTACTGCACAGTCGTTGTGCTCAGTGTGATTGCCCCTTGTGTTGCTCGCTCCATCGCCGGCCTCGTGGGCAGAAAGCCCGCGGCCGCCGGCCCATCATTTGCGGCAGGTCCGCGTGGAACGTATCCTCGAGACCCCGTGCACACGGGATCGCGCCCCCGCGTCCAGACAGCGAGGTTGTGGATATGGATGCGTCCGCCGCCCGTGATCGACGCCTCAGCTCTGCCACCCCGGGCATCTGGGAGAGCCATCGTGCGTCCCCGTCTTTTGTTGAGCAGGCTTGTGTCGGCCCTGCTACGCTACCGTGTTCCCATCCTTTTAGTTGAAGTCCGTTGTGCCAGGTGAGTGGAGCTCGAATGAATAAGAGCACCGACGAGAGGGCCAGGTCGGTGGCCAAAACGATTGTAAGCATCTTCCCAACCATCCTGTGGTGTTGGTTCTTCGTTTTGAAGGGAGAGCGCCCCCCGTCCGCTCGTTTCTCCCGCTGCCCCCATCCCTCCTGTCGTCCCTGTCCTCCCCATCCCGGCTTCTGTTTTCCGCATGTCAGCCATCTCGGCGCACGCCTCATTTTTGTCGTGGCCCCAGATGGAGCTCCAAATCAGGCTTCGGGTGGGGGGACGCATGCGGCCCCCCCGCCCATTTCGGCACGCAGGCAGTTCCCCAGCCCCTTCGTCACACCCCTCACACGTTTCGTGGCTCCCCAGGGAGCTCCAACTAAGGCCCAAGGTGGGGACTACGCATGCGCTTCCACCCTCTATGTTGGCACACCCCTCGCACATTGGAGCGCTTCTGAATTTCGTGGCGATAGCGGGTGTTACCGGGGGAGGGGGGGGAAGAGGCCGGTCACGTCGCGTTTCGCGTGGGTGCCGTTTGTGAACGCGTAGGAATAACCACAAACGGTTCGGATAGCAGATTCTCGCCGCGGCAGAGCGCGTATACCTATAATGATTTGTTACGGCAGAGTGCCTCCCTTTTCCTTCTCTTTCTCTGCCTCCTCCTCGTTCCTCCCTCGTCCCTCCTCTTTCGCCTTCCCCCCGTCCTCGTCGTCGCCGCCGTCGTCGTCGTCGTCGTCGTCGCCGTCGTCGTCGTCGTCGTCGTCGTCGTCGGCTCAAGCACTTGGGCTCGGGCGGGGGCGTTGTAGGCACAGGGTCTGAGCACGCGTGTGCAATTCTGTGCTTCCTCGTGGCGCCTGGGGGTTTGTGCTGTTGCAGCTCATTGGCAGGGGCTGGGGTCGCGATGGCAGGCACACATCGGTTGTGGAGCGGGTGCGCCCACTGCCAGGCGTGCGAGTGGAACGCACACTTTCCTCCAAAGGACGGGGACCGCACCAAGTGCGGCCACGAGGTCTCGATATGTCGTCCCCGTCGGGTTCGGTTCTCCCGCGGCCAGGGTGCGCAGGATGAGGACCTCTACGACGCAGGCACTGGAAGGGAGGCCGAGGGTGGACACCGCCAGCCCCTGCCACCAGGCATCCTTCGTCAGGCTCGTGACCGCTCGTCTTCTCCCGGAGGCAAGAACGTCGGTGGAGGCGCTCCTCTCGCAGGCGGTGGCAGTGGCGAAGGTCCCCGAGCTTCAGGCGGACCTTCAGGCCCAACTCGACAAGCTGGGCCAGGAGGACAGTGCTGGCACGCCGAAGCTCAGCGTGTCGGAGGAGTTTTGGCACGCCGACGAGGCTTGGTGCGATGCCGAGCGCAAACAGCAGTAGGCGGTGGCCAACGTCATTCGCCTCAACAGCAATCTAGCGGCTGCGGAGGGGAAGGGAAGGCGGCATCGCTAGCACTAGCAGAGGCAGCGCAGGCTCAGAAGCTTGCAGCCTAGGCCGTGGCGAGAGCTGAGGTTCTGCAGCGTGGTGCGCAGCTGAGTTCTAGCGACATGCAGCAGCAGAAGCTGATCAGCGCGCAGTGGGGCGATGAGTGTTTGACCGACGTGGAGTCGCTCGAGGCGGCAGCCCAGGAGAAGACCGCGCTCGAGCCTCTGGACGGGCAGCTCAAGAGCGTCAATGAGCACTTGCAGGGCAAGTGGGGCGAGAACCAGGAGTAGCTTCGCACCGTTCAGCATCGCGAGGAGGCCATTGACTCGAGGGCGGCCAAGAAACGGAATGCTGAGGCTGGCGAGGCGACGCATGCCTGCGGGACGGGTCAAGCGGCAGTCATCCCACCAGCCGCAGCAGCCGCAGACTCGGCCCAGCCCTCGGCGCCACCAGGCCCCGATGGTTTGCGGGCGCGCTCTTGCGAATTCTTTAGACGATCTTTGTTTTTGAGCATGTCCACCAAATGCGACCAAACTGGCTTCTCGCACGCGCGTGGCGAAATCATTCGAACGCCCTTGCGCGCGTGCTGGGGGGGGGCACGATCCCTGTCACATAACGCCATGCGGGCAACTCGCGCGCGTCGGCCGCGCGCGCATGTCGAAGTCTCCCTAAAACCTTCGTGACCGACGCGAGAGCACCATCTTTGTCATTGGCGTGATCATCGTCGGCGCCGTCATTGGCCTTGCCGTTGTCATCGCCATCATCGCTACTATCATCATCGTGTCTACCATTGTTGACGTCGCCATGATATTGCGCCCGCCCTGGTCACCAACTGTTGGTGAAGCGTCCGCGCACCAGCGCGGTTTCTGAGACGCGATGGGGAGCTGCCATCGGGTAGCGCCACCGCGGCCGCTCGGGTCGCGCCAGACAAGCCGACCGCTCTGCACGAAAGCTTGCGCGCGCTAGCGCGTCCGCGGCGATGCGCCAGCCAGCGCAAAGCAGTCATCGCAGTCGCCGCCGCATGGGTTTTGCAAACCAGATTGTGGCTGGGCGGGTGGGATGATTGCTCGAGCGCTGGAGTTGGCAACTCCAAGTCTTTGACGATTTCTTGCGTTACGTGATTGGCGCTGCAGACATTGCGCCCCATACTATAGACACGCGTATTCATGTGTATCATTTGTATATATGTGTACATATCTACACATGTGGATGTGTGTATACATATTGACAGTAAATATATATATATATATATATATACGAATCGATTCTCGTTTTCTTCCAAAAGGTAATCGACTCTGCCCCTCTCCCCCCGCCCCCTGGATTACCCGCACCCCTTTTCCGCATTGCAATTTACATGTGATTCTGCCCCATCGTCCATCCGAAATATGAATATATACCATCCCACACGAGCCAGTGCCCCCCCCCGCCATCTTCTGCCAAACAGAAGGGGCGCGCATTCGTTTATAAAACATCATCCGTGCTCAAGAATCTCTGCCCCAAAAAATGACGAAGTGCACACGCGCGCGTCGTCGCGCGCGCATGCCAGACACATTGAAACACTTTTCGTTTTTGTATGGAAAGCATCCAAAACACATGGTCTCGCAACACTGAATGTCAAAGAAAAGTTTGCGCGCATTTCCTGGCGAATTCTTGCGACATTCATGTGTTTCACCATGTCGAGAAAAACTACCAAACGGGTTCCGCGCGCACATGTCGAAATCGTTCGAACGCCCGTGCGCGTACCGTAGCGAAGCTCCTTTGCAAGAAATGGGACGAAGTGCGCGCGCGTCGTCGCGCGCGCATGCCGACATCCGTCAAAAACCTTCGGCTTCGAAACGATTCCAAAACCGAGTGTCAACAACAAGTATTACTAACAAAACATGGTTTCGCACCATCATGATCAGTTTTCAAAAAACCTTGCGCTCGTGCTTTTGCGAGTTCTTAAGACACCCACCGGGTTTCAACATTTCCGTGACATTCTGCCAACCGGGCCTTTGACCCCGCATGCTAAATAATTCGGACGCCCTCGCGCGCGTGCTGGGAGGGGGGGCGACCCGTGCCAAATAATACCATGCGGGCCAGTCGCGCGCCGGCCGCGCGCATGTCGATTTTTTTTGTTCTTTTCAAAACCTCCACCACCGACGCGCAGACGCCGTCATCGTCGCCGGCGCGATCAGCATCTGCGCCCGCACTGGCCGCGCCGTCTGCGTTGTCAGCGTTTCACCCGCATCGCTTCTATGATCATCGTGTCTACGGTTGTCGACGTTGCCATGATACCGCGCCCGCCCAATCGCGCGACTCGCAGTGAAGTGCCTATGGGATGTATCCAGCGGTCAGCGCCACCGTGGCCGCGTCGGTCGCGCCACACTAGTTGGCCGCTGCGCGCGCGTGCTTGGACTGGCGTGGTCAGCATCGCCACCAGCATCGCTACGAACATCATCGTGTCTACCGTTGGCGACGTTGCATTCATACCGCGTTGTCCGCTGGGATGTGCTCGGTGGTCAGCGCCACCACGGCCGCGTCGGTCGCGCCAAGCCACCTGGCTGCTGCGCGCGCGCATGCGCGGGCTGGCGCGGCCGCAGAGATGCACCAGCCAACGCCAAGCACTCATCGCAATCCCCGCCGCCTGGGTGGGAAGTTTGGGCGAGCAGTGGTGGTGGCCAAGCGCGGTGCATGGTAGTCAAAAGCACCACACAGATTGCACCACGCAGTATGCACAACACATATTGCACGGCATCGGTTGCACAACGCGGATTGGGCGACATCGGTTGCACCACACAGGCTGCCCTGCATTAGCTGCACCGCGTATGTTGCGCCACGTAGAGAGTGCCACATCTATCGGGCCACATGTTACACCACGTACATTTCGATAGCCACATTGTTTGGGGCCCACACTGGGCAATTTTTGTTATGCAGTCGACCCGCTGTGCGTTTCATCAAATCCACGACTGCCGTGCATGCAGTGTTGTGGCGCCTGCGTGTGGGGTTCGTGGTCCGTTTTTGGAGTTTGGGGTTTGTGCTGTTCCCTTGCCAGCGACCCTTGGCCCCAAGGCCCCTGCAGGACCTCGCGCCAGGCTTTGAGGTCAGTCTGGCTCGGACGCAACGGTCGATCGCGCGGGCCGAAGCACAGGAAACACGTTTTGCCCTGCGCAACGCTTTCTAGCTGGCGGATGTCTCCCACGAATCTCGGAACTTTCGACCCGCTCGATGCAAAGGGGGTCTTTTCGCGAGGATGCGGCGGAGGCTTAGAATGATGACGTAGCTCTCTTGCCCGAGGAAGAGGAAGAGGAAAAGGCTTAACCTATGCGATGATGGTTCGCTGCCTGCTGCCTTCGAGCCCCAGCTGGTCCTCTCACCCCCCCTTTGGCCTCTGGCCCCGGGGGGCCTGACGGCTGCGACGGTGCCCGGCCGAACCGCCTCCGAGCAGCGAGGATTTGCATCGGAGCCCCAGGTCTTGACACGCCAGCAATATAACCAGTCCAGGTGACGCTTCGGACAATTCAAACAAGTTGTTTCATCAGGTTGCGAGTCCTTGTGAGGATATAAGCCATGTTAATACTGTGTCTCAGGCTGTCAACAGTCGGGTTCCCTGTCCAGCCCCGTAGGCGTCTCGACCCGAGGTTGACGAGTTTATGGTCTCAAGCCCTCTGTAGGGATTAGCCTAGTACAGTTTTTCTTCCACCTCGTATTCCTTCCGTCCCCGATTGGCTGCAAAAATTGTTGTCAGCTCGCCCTTGTCCTTCCTTCTCCTTCGAGTTCGCTCTAGAGGAACTGTGAGGAGGCGGGTGGATCAGGATTCGAGGAAGTAGTCAGTGTAAAGGAGTGGCATATCATAAGTATAACGGAGGAGGAAGGAAGTCTTCAGAGGTCTTCCAGAAGTCTCCGAAGATTCCAAGAGAACGGATGCCTTCAGAGGTCTCAGGAGGCCTCCAGTTGTGAGGTTGGAGACAACGATTAATGTGGGTGTTGTTCTGGATTCCCGAGGAGGACGTGGAGAAGCAGGCGGAGGACAAGAAGGGAGGGCATGGTTTCGAGGAGGAGAGGAAGGAGGAATGCGGGGAGGGAAGAGGGGAGGGGGCAGGCCGCACTGGTACTGCTCGGTGGTCATGCTCTCCTTCATCCCAGGGGCGCCTGGCCCGGCACGCGACCGCCCAGCCCATCTGTTGCAAGAAGAGGAGGATGCGAATACGACGACGACGACGACAACGACCACGACGACGACGACGTCAACGACCACGGCGACGACGACGAGGACCACGACAACGACGACGACGATGGTGAAGGTGATGATGATGGTGGTGATGGTGGTGGTGATGATGGTCATGGTGGTGATGGTTGTGATGATGACGATGATGACGATGCTGACGATGATGGTGATGTTGATGGTGATGGAAATGGTGATGACGATGATGATGCTGCTGATGATGCTGCTGCTGCTGACGACGATGATGATGCTGATGATGATGATCTGGGGGAACGTAAGACTCGAGTAAGCTGGAACTCGGGTTTGCCAACGTTTTTTGACGAGCGCGTCCTGGATTTCCGTTGGATGTTTGCAGCAGGAGCTCGCGTCAAATTTCAGATTGGTTCTCGTCATTTTCATTGATGGCCTTGTTGGGCCAATCCGACTCTCCCGAACCCAAGTTTTACGCCTCCCCGAATGATGATAATGCTGATGCTAGTAGTGGTGATGATTGTTGTGGTGATGGTTGTGATGATGGTGATGCTGATGGTGATGATGGTGGTGGTGGCCGTGATGATGATGGCCATGGTGATGGCGATGATGACGGTAATGGTGATGATGCTGATGATGTTGATGTTGATAATGATGATGAACATAAGCAAGATGATGTTGACGAGTGGTGGTTGTTGTTGATGATGTTGCTTATGATGACGATTCTGATCATGATGATGAGGATGAGGATGATGATGTTGGTGATGCTGATGATGATGATTTTGGTGGTAGTGATGATGATGCTTTTGTCACGACGAGGACGAGAGGAGGAGGACGACGACGACAGGTAGAGGAGATTTAGGAGGGAAACAACATGAATACGGCAGCATGGAGGGAGTGACGGCTGGAGTGATGGAGGAGGAGGAGGAGAAGGAGGAGGAGGAGGTTGAAGGAGAAGAAGGACGGAGGCTAAGGAGAGAAGGGGGGGGTGCAGGGCGCAGGGGGAGGAAGGAGGAGGGAGCAGGAGTGGAGGTGGGAGGATAATGTGAATGCAGGCGGGGGAGCTCTACAGAGGTGACACGCGCGCCTCTCGTCTGCTGAAGAAGCTGGATACGGCCGTCATTGCATATAACCTCAGATTCATTTGACAGTCCCGAAAGCCTCAGAGTGCAAGACTGCGCTGTATGGGTCCTTAGATGGGGAGGGAGACGATTCGGCAACCGCCTCCAGCGAGCAGGACATCGAAAACTTGACCAATGGCAGTGGTCAGCGGGCAGCCATGCCACAGGTGAAGCCTATCGAGACTAACAAGGAGGTGCTTGTTCAGTGTGGGATCAACGATACGATGGCCAGCGCAGTGCCCTCCGCAGGCGTTGACATGGTATCTATGGCTGTTGTATCGCCCGGCGCCTTTCAGGCGTTACGAGATGATCCAAATCCGCTTAGCAACAAAGTGGGCGTCATCAAGTGCCGCACGCTGAATGGCACATGTGGGGCCATTGCAGGCTTGAACGCGAAGAGCTACGAAGAGATCCAAGAAGCCCTCGAAAACAAGGTGAGCTACGCGGACATTGTGCCCACCACAAAAAAAAACGGCATTGTGAGGGCATTCCATGTCCACCGGATCATTCTTTGAATGGAGGGCGAAGAGGATCTCCGGGCTATTGCAGACACTGTTTGCCAACTCCGTAACGCCTCGGAAAACAAGGTCAGTTCTGAAGTTGTCGGAACATTCTTCCTGGACAAGGTGAGCCACATTTAGTTCCAGGGTTCTGGCAATAGCACGGTGTGTAAATCAGATTTGCGGCACGTTTTCCTGTTGGGTGACCTCTCATGTTATTGTTGTCGGGCACAAGTAAACGTGGCAGATATTCAGCACGCTCTTGAGGATGAGGTGACCACCCACACGTTCCAGAAGGCGGTAGAGGAGACCAACCAGTCCATCGGGGACATGGTGACCTCCGGAGACCTCCAGCAGGGCATCGCCGATAGCTGCGGGCGGCGAAACAGGTGCAGACTCGGATGACACATTTTTGACATATCTGGACGAGGAATAGAAAGCACAAAAAACCAAATTGCGAAACATCAGGTTCAGGCAGCGAGTTGTTGCAGACATTCCTCCAGTATCACATGTTCTCATTTGCTTCCTCACTTCACCAGTTTTCCTCCCTCCCCTTCGCCCCCCGCATCGGCGCAGTGGTGCGGTCCCGTCCGAGACCGATCGTAGGTTCAAGGGGGTGGATAGAAATTGGTTGGAGGACGATTGGGTTTCGCGTGACAGACCCATGGTCCGCATGGAGTGCGTATTAACTTGCGCGAGCATAAGCCAACTCCCACATCTATTCATAATCCTAGGCCCTAGGCCCATGGCGCGGTGGCCTGGCCCAGCGACCCTTCTACACCGCCGCTTAGGCAGAGCGTGCTTTCTGTTTCTGGGGGAGGCGGAGGACTAGAGAGGGTTCCGAATGGTGGTTGGCTGCGCGCGTGCGTGCGTTTTTGTGTGGTTCGGGTGTGGCGTGCGTGCGCGTTGTGCGGTTGGGTCGAGGTGTTTTTGGGGCGGAGGGGTCGGGCGACTTCGCCATGCTCCATGCCCCCCCCCGGCCAGCCACGCCGCAGCGTGGCGAGCAGGCCGATCGCTTGCAATCGCCCGTGGCTGGAGTTAGCGGGGCCACGGGCGACATTGGAGGTCACTGTTTCGACGTTCTTGGTGTTTTAGGAACCCTTTGTTTTCCCAGCCTGCGCGGTGGCCTGCCCACAACTCTGGAGCTAACAGGAGTTGGGTCGGGCATGCCGCTCTTTTCCTCTGACATTGCTCTGCTCTTTTCGCCCCTCCTTTCCTACCCTTGTTTTCTCCAGGATCTTTCGGCATTTGCGGTTGTATGACAGTCATGTTATTCTAGGATGCGGCCGGTCGGCACCTTGGGTTCGGTGCGCGTGTGTGACGGCGCATGGAGGAGGGGGGGGGGCGCGGCGGAGCATATTGAGTTCGAGGGGGAGAAGGAACAGCAACAGCCCATGGACGGGGCAGGAGGACAACGCCGGAGGAAAAGGGGGCAATGGTTCGAGAAGGAGGTCGACCACATCATCGATATACCGCAGCATTCTGTGCCGATTCGACAACCAAAAGCGGTACAATGCTTTGTATATGTACGAGCATCCTGCGTATACGTTCGACGAGAATTCCAACTCCAGGGCAATTTTTGTTGCAGTCCATCTCCTATTCGAACGGCGGGCGGAGGCAAGGGGCGCGGGACCGATCGGGTCTCAGAGCCCCGTGTTCCCCGGATTGGCCGGGGCTGGCGGATTCTTGGCGTCGGCGGGTATTTTTGCTTCTCGGTCATCCAGGCGCCAGCGGCCGGACCTGCCCGGGCGGTCTCGTCTCAGGAGGAAAAAGCAACATACAGGCGCAATAAATCGTCGATCCCCTGGAAGAAATGGGGGAATTCGGGAAGTGGGGGGATGACGAGAATTCAAAAAATATAAGAAGCAATACGGGATCCTGGGATTTGTGTGTATATCTTGTTGTGTCCCTGGGATCCTTCATGGTCAGCTGTCCGCACAAGCCGCGGATGTTCCCAAAGCTGGCCGCGCCCCGTCCCGAAAATTCTGTGCAAGGGCGCCGTCTTCTGGCGTGGACAAGAGGGCGTCAGCACCGACACTCCTCGGCCCAGGACGGGCCCCTGGCCCGAATCGGTGCCGTTGTCTGTGTGTGTGTGTGTGTGTCGGTGGCGCCGTCGTCGCCCCACTCCTCTGTCGATCCTCCTCATCGCCCCCCTTCGGTCCCTCATCTTCTCGAAGGCGAAACGCCATAAACATATATGAATGACACTTCGGATCCGCGCTGGGCCCTTCCCCGGCGGTGCCTCCGGCGCCGCCCTCCGCGCGCCAGGGAGATGGGTCCAGCGCGGATCCAGGAAACCCGCGCGGAGCGCCACAAGTTTTATGTGTGTGTGGCGTTTTTTCTTCTTCTATCTTTGGTCCTCGATCATTTCCGAGTTCCCGTTGGGCCGCTCTCTCCGATGAGCTCTAAGCTGGCGAGCAGGCCGGGGGGGGGGGGGTCGTCTGGGGGTGCGGGCAGGATTCTCCCTCAGCCCCGTTCTGCTCCCCTGTGGAGTGCCTCGGCCTCTTGGGCTTGGGCGTGGTCGTGAGTCCTCGCTGCTCCCTCTCTCTCTGGAACCGCTTCGTGCTCGCCGGGGTCTCCAGAGCCCCCTTCTCTCCCCCCCTTCGCCGCAGGCCTAGAGGTTGACACCAGCACCAATATCGGCGGTGTGCCTCCAAGGAGGGAAGAAGATCCCGATGTCGGTGGTGGTGGTAAGATTCTGGCTCATCAAGGATCATCCAGGATCATCCTCCCTCTGTGGAGGCGACCCCGTGTGTTGGTGTTGGCGCCCCTTTGCAGGCCACCAACCGTGCACTTCTCACCGCACCACGAGACTGGATGCACACGACTCGGTCCGCCAGGGCGCGAGCCAGATGCACATGCTGCCACATGTCTTCCCAGCGCTCCGCCCAGCCATGGCGAGGCGCGATCGCCTTCCGCACGTGCATCCAGCTCGTGGACCCCAGGGCGGATGTTCCACATGTGAGTCCGGCCACGTGCGTTTCCGGCTTCCTGGCAGAAGGTGGCCCAGGCAAGTCTTTCGCTGTGAGTGAGCGCCGGAGCACAGGTTGGCATCGCTCGGACGTGTGCATTTTTCTCGGCGCGAACCATCGAGGACCATCCTGGACCATCGAGCAAAAAAGAACAAGCACGAAACCGAAAAATGCACGGGAAATGGACGTCCGAGCGACGGCAAGACAGGAGCCAGGCCTCTCATCGCAGGAACTGGCCCCCCGTCACTTTCTACAGAGGTCGACGAGGAAGCCCAGCCCTGTTCCGAGTCCGACCGAGTCCTCCAGCCCCCGTATCCCCATCCCCCTCTTCCTCCTCCCCCTCCGTAGCCATTTTGGCTCAAGCAATTTGGGCTCCAGCATTTTTTTGGCTCGTTTGCCAGGGTTCCAGCCTGACACGCCCGACGGTCGCTAACAGCACCGCTTCTCCCCGTAAAGCGATGGCGCGCTCCAGCTTCGGTGCCCTTGTCCTCGCCGCGGCGGCCGCGTGGCTGCTATCCGCGACCCTCTCGCCGGCCTTTGCCGGCACGAGGGCCCAGACGGCTGCTCGCGGTGACCGCGTGGCCAGGCAGGCCGGGTCCGAGATCATGCTCACCGCTCCCTCGATCGGCGGCCGCTATCGCGTGATCATCGACGAGAGCACCACGGTGGAGTCGTGCCTCACCAAGTTCAGGAAGATCTTCGAGATCGACCAGGACTTCCTCCTCGACAGCGACTTCAACGTCTACCTGAAGGAGGACGAGAGCAAGCCAATCTCCGGCAAGATCGCGGACCACACCAAGCTGCGCCCTTGGGGGCCGGACGGCATCGAGTTGCACATCTACTACGAGCCGAAGTGAGCGGACCTCGCTCGCACCGGCAAGCGGCGGCTGAGGAGAGGATTTTACTGAGCGCGTTCTCCTCCTCCTCCTCCTTGTCACTCTCCTCCTCCTTGTCACCCTCCCCCCTGCCACGTCTTGCCCCTTCTCCTCTTCCTCCTCGCCTGCCTCGTTGCCCTCGCCGTCCCTCCCCGCCCCTCGCCCTCGTCTGCTTCCTCCTCCGCGCGGGCCGCCCTCCCGTGTCCCAGCTGTGGCCCAGATCCACCGCCCCCTTCGAAAGGTCCCTGGGGATCGGTGCCCCGGGCGGTGGATACGAGTACCCGTCGGTCGTTGAAAGTAGGTATTCTTGGTCTCCCAGCTCCCAGTCTGCTTCAGGCGCCGTCCTGCTTCAAGAGTCGATGTGCTTTTGCTGTGTTCTGTCACATTCTCTGGGGGGCCTGGGCCAAATCTGCATTCTCTGCCTTCCTACTTCCTGTGTTCACCTGCTTCTTCTGACCGACGTGCAACAGTCGCTCTCTCTCTCTCTCACTATATATATATATATACGTACATTAATATATATATATATATATATATATATATGTTTCGCTCTCTTTCTAGATGTATGTATAAATGTATGAACGAGCGTGTTCTACGGCTGCTGGCGGAAAACCGGGGGGGGGTATTGGGGGTTCCCAACCAGTCCGCTCCCCCCCCATCGAAAATTGGTGGGGTCACTAGCGGTTCGACCCCCCCCTCCAGTCCATCATGAAAAGGGGGGGGGTCACTACCACTTCGAACCCCCCCCCCTCGCCGCTGGCAAATGATTCCCGCTCCTCGGGATAGTTAAACAGTGATGGGGATACTGGGACAGTGTTGGGGACAGTGGTGGTGGGGACCGTGGTGTGGGGACAGTGGGACAGTGGTGCGGACAGTGGGACAGTGGTGGGGACGGTGGTGGGGACAGTGGTAAGGGGACAGCGGGACAGTGGTGGGGACAGTGGGGACAGTGGGACAGCGGTGGGGACGGTAGTGGTGGGGACAGCAGGGACAATGGTGGAACAACGGGGACAGTGGGACAGTGGTGGGGACTGGGACAGTGGTGGGACGGTGGTTGTGGGCACAGTGGTGTGGGGACAGTGGGACAATGGTGGGGACAGTGGGGACAGTGGGACAGTGGTGGGGACAGTGGTGGTAGGGACAGTGGTGAGAGCGGTGGCGAGGACGGTTGTGGAACAATGGGACAGGGGTAAAGTGGGGACAGTGGTGGGGACAGTTGGGACAGTGGTGGGAGCAGTGGGACAGCTCAGTGGGACAGCGACAGCGGCGGGGACACTGGGTCAGTGGGACAGTGGGGACAGTGGGACAGTGGTGGGGACCGTGGGGAAAGTGGGGGGAGTGGGACTGTGGTGGGAACAGTGGCGGGACAGTCGGGACAGTGCGACAGTTGTGGGGGCACTGGTGGGGACAGTGGGGACGGTGGTGGGAACAATAGGAACAGTGGTGGTGGGGACAGTGTTGCTGGGGACAGCAGTGGGGGATGTGGTGCGGACGGTGGTGGGGACCCGGGAGTCATTTGCCGGCGGTGGGTGGGGTGTGTGTGTGTGTGTGTGTTCGGAATGGTAGTGACCCCCTCCGGTGTTCTGGAAGGGGGGGGGTTCGAACCGGTAGTGACCCCTTCCCCCGGTTTTCTGGAGAGGGGGGGGAGGCGGACGGGGTTCCAACCGGTAGTGACCCCTGCCCCGTTTTCTGGAGGGGGGGGAGGGTCGAACCGGTAGTGACCCCCTCCAGTTTTCTGGAGGGGGGGGGAGGGGTTAGGGGGAGGGGTTTTGCTGGGGGGAAGGAGGGGGGGGATTCCAGCAGGGGAGGGAGGATTTTCGAAGGGGGGGGGGGGGGGGGCCCGGTTCCAGAGGAAGAGGGGGATTTTTTCCACAGTAAAGCGGCGGTGGATCCTTCTCTCTCTCTCTCTCTCACACATATATATACACCTATACATATGTTCATATATATATACATACACGGATGTATATGTATGTATATGCGCCTCTCTGTTCACATCTGTCAGGTCTTCGAATTCCCACGTGCTATGCATCTCCGCTCTTGCGTCCTCCGCGGGGTCAGTGGAAACCAGGCCGGTGCGATGCAGCTGCTCGGCGGCATCACAGTGACTGTCCTGTCCACCGCGACGTTTCTGCGGTGCGCGCTGTCGAACCCGGGGGTGCTTAAGGATGCCAGCCGTCTTTTGCCGCTCCTGGCGGGGACTCGCCGTCGTCGTCGGGAGGCGAGAACGGCGGCACTTCCCAGCGTTTTCTTCTTTTGAGCCTCATGTCTTCCCCTCTTCTCCCCCCCTCCCACTCGCTCCTCGGCTCCTCGCTTTCCCGCCTGTCCCCTGTTCGTTGCCTTGCACGCGGTTCTTTTTCGGCCAGCCCTGTGGTCCGAATACAAGTACGCTGTATTTGCAGATTGTGCTCACGCCCACGCACTGCCTTGTGTATGGCTTGTCTGTCTGTCTGTCTGTGGAGTCTTTCTCTTCGCCGTGGCTGGATCCGCCTCGAAAAAGGGGTCCGAATGAACCCTGGGCCGTGGCGGGAGAGTCGCCGTTCCACCAGCCCGATCCAGCCATGCATTGCTGGAAGCACGAGCTGACTGAATCGTAATTCTCGCTCGCATGTGCGGGCCACGTCGTGCCCATGCACACTCCGACTGATCGGATCCATTTCTGCAGGGGGAGGTCATCGACTGCTGATCGCCCGTTCATGACCGAATGCGGTTTGGATGCCGCACCCTGTCCAGGAGCGTGGGGCCGTCGCCATCGGGGGCCTCATCGCCCATTTCTCGGCCACGCACGGTCGATGGATAACAGGCTGACGTTTGCGTTCCCCCCTGGCACCTATTGGACTCTCCTCTGGACCTATCCTGAGGTTTGTTCTGCTAGGAATCCAAGGGGAGTCCAGCTGTGGTGATGAAAAAGCCGGCTTGACGCCCAGGACCACTAAACAATGTTTATCCTCCAGGACACGTTTCCTTCATGTCAGAAGTTTCCCGCGACCACAGGGAGGGCGATCGATTCGCGACCTCATGCTCGCCTTGGCGAGCAGGCCTTCAAGATCCGTTCAAACGCACGAGTCAACTAGCCCCAACTGAATTGTGTTATATTGTATGTGTAGGTGTATCTGTAGATTCACAAAGTATATTCATACACATTATATATATACACGTGTGTATGTTTACATGTGTATAGGACCGTGCCCACCCCAGGGGGGTCCACAATAGGGTCCGAGAAGGCCCCATGGAACTCCCCAACACATATTGAACATGGTACACTGCCCCCCCCCAGTACACCGAGGAGGACCTCTCTCGAGGGGCCTCAGCAAAATACACAACCCAGAGGTGGAACAACAAGAAGCTCGATACTCCATGGTCGGTCACCTTCATGCCAGAGGAGGAGGGGGAGGAGGTGGAGGTGGAACGAGGTGAACGAACAGGAGAAGGCCCATTGCGGGTGTCCCATCGGGGCACGAGCAGAGCGGACCGCCATCACTTCTGCCCTTGGGGGGTGGAGGACATCCGACGCATGTCCTGAGGCGGGGAGGGTACACGACCAGCGAACCGGCAGGCGGCATCGCATGAGGCGTGGCCATCGTTGAGGGCGCGCAGCGCAGGGTATCTGCCTCGTCGTGTCGATTCGTCGCCCTCCCTCCTCACGCCATCGCTCTTCATTAGCAGCAGGAGGAGAAGGAGGAGGCGGGGGAGGAGCAGTGTGAGGAGGAGACGGTGGAGGAGGAGGAGGAGGAGACGGTGGACCCAGACATCCGACGTCGTGATCGTTTCACAACTTGACTCCCCAGAGGTCTGGACCATTACCCGGAGACCTGCTGTTCATCTTGATATATTTTTTAAAATGCCCAGGCCGGCGGCGAGCGAGGGGGGAAGTGTCAAGTAGACGGCCTTCTTTGAAGGCTCGGAAGTCCCTTGGCCTTTTGATAAGTTTTCTAAGTCACCTCCGAAGACTGAAACAAATTCTCACTAGGCCGGAGGGCTTCTGAGACGTCCCGCCGCCTTTTGAGAAGGGCTTCTCCTTCTCACTTCCCACCAGGGGCCCAGTGAGGGCCCCTACTGGTAGAGGGCCATACCTGCCTAAAAATTACTGCAGCATTGTTGTCCCGAGTTGGGTTCTGATTTTGAAGGGGGCACTGCAGTCGCGACCTTATCCTTCTCCTGCCTCTCACCTCTCTTCCATCCCCCTCTCCTTCTTCCTCTTCCCCTCTCCTGCTTTCTACTTGGCTTGCCCATGCCTGCGGTTTCCACATCCTTCTCCCGCATCCTTTCTCCTCTCTTCCCTCCTCCCCTTTCTCTCCTCCTGTCTTTAAGCCTCCTCTCTTCTCCTGCCGTTTATCTGGCTTGCCCGCGCCACCCTTGGGGGGGTGCGATCTGCGACACCGTTGCCACTTTCGAGGGCTGCTGGAGGGTCAAGCGGAGTGACGTCCCACGCAGACCTAAATATTAGACCTCGCCACCCCTTGGGCGCTGCGATCTGCGAAACCGCCGCCACTTTCGAGGGCTGTTGGGGGGTCCAGCGGGGTGACGTCCCACGCAGACCTAACTTTGATCTCGCCATCCTTGGGGGTTGGGGGCTGCGATCTTGGAATGTGTCGCCACTTTCGAGCGCTGCTGGGGGGCCCAGTGGACTGATGTCACACGCAGGCCTAAATTAGACCTCGCCATTATTGCGGGAGCTGCGATCTCCGAAATTGTCGCCGCGCTCGAGGGCTGCTGGGGGGTCCAGCAGGGTGGCTTCCCACAAAAACCTAAATTTGACCTCACCATGGGGGGGCTGCGATCTGCGACACCGTCGCCACTTTCGAGTGCTGCTGGGGATCCAGCGGAGTGACGTCCCACGCAGACCTGCATTCGACTTCGCCGCCCCTGGGGGTCTGCGATCTGCTACACCGTTGCCACTTTCGAGTGTTGTTAGGAGGTCCAGCGGGGTGACGTCCCACGCAGACCTAAATTAGACCTCGCCATCCTTGCGGGGGAGGGGGGCTGGGAACTGCGAAACTGTCGTCATGTTCGACTGCTGCTGGGGGGTCAGCAGAGTGACATCCTACGCTGATCCAGATTCGAACTCGCCATGCCTGTGGGCTACAGGCTGCGAAACCGTCGCCACTTTCGCGGGTTGCCAGGGGGTCTAGCGGAGTGACGTCCCACGGCGATTCAGGTTGGTCTTCGTTATCCGTGGGGGGGGTGCGATCTGCGAAATTATGTCCATTTTCGAGGGTTGCGGGTGGGTCCAATTGAGTAATGCCTTACAGAGATTCAGCGCTTCGGCCTCTCGTGGCGCCCCCCGCCAGTCCCCAGCTCCTCCCCGCATTGGGCGAGGGCCCTGTGAGTAGTTCAACGGGCGGGCATCACGTGCAGCTCGCGCAACACATGACGGCCCTCGCATTGCCCCCATCCATAATAATGTGTGTGATCCAATATGGTCACGCGATGCACGCAGGCGGGGCACGTGACAGGGTAAGTTCCCCACGGCGCGAGGATGCCAGAGGAGATGGATGTTGATATTGATGATGATGTTGATGATGATGATGATGATGATGATGATGACGATGCGGGTGATGGTGATGGTGACGGTGACGGTGATGGTGATGGTGATGGTTATGATGGTGATGTTGATGATGATGATGATGTTGATATTGTTGATGTTGACAATGATGATGGTGGTGATGGTATTGGTTATGGTGGTGATGACGGTGGTGATGATGGTGGTGATGATGATGATCATGAGGATGCTGATGAGAACGATGATGATAGTGATGACGATGCTGATGATTATGATGAGGATGACGATGGTGGTGCTGATGATGATGCAACGTATGATGGAGCTGGCTGGTGGTTGTGGTGATGATGGGGCTGGTGTTGTCGTTGCTGATGATACTGATGATGCTGGTGGTGATACTGATGATGATGCTGTTGATGGCGATGAGGCTGATGATACTGTTGTTGATGATGAGGATGATGCTGATGCCGTGCATGATGCTGCTGATGATGATGTTGATGATGTTGCGTATGCTCATGATGATGATGATGCTGATGATGCTGATGCACATGGTGATGCTGATGCTAGTAATGTTGCTGATGCTGAGGATGCCGATTATGATGCTGGTGATGTTGTTGCTGATGATGATGCTGGTGGTGATGCGGAGGATGCGGTTGAGAGAGGTGATGAAGACCATGATGAGGAGGACGAGGATGATGGTGATGGCGATGCTGATGATTATGATGATGATACTGCTGATATCGATGCTGATGTTGCTGATGATGCTGACGATGGTGATGATGGTGATGATGATGCTGATGATGATGATGATGATGATGATGATGATGATGATGATGATGCGGATCATGTGGGTGATCATGCTGAGGATGTTAATGCTGCTGATGTCGCCGAGGATGCAGTTGTTGGTGATGATGGTGCTGAATCGTAGTACGAGTGTCCTTCAAATAGCGATAGAATTAGTATGCCTTGTAATGCGATTCGTTTCCTTACCTGGCAGTAGTATTGTAAGTAGTCGCAGTAGTAATCGTAGTAGTAGTAGTAGTAGTAGTAGTAGTAGTAGTAGTAGTCGCCGTGGCAGTCGTAGTAGTAGTAGTAGTAGTAGTAGTAGTAGTAGTAGTAGTAGTAGTAGTAGTAGTAGTAGTAGTAGCAGTAGCAGTAGTAGTAGTAGTAGTAGTAGTAGTAGTAGTCGTAGTCGTAGTAGTCGTAGTAGTCGTAGTAGTCGTAGTAGTAGTAGTAGTAGAAGAAGAGGAAGAAGTAGCATCAGCAGTAGTAGTAGTAGTAGTGCTACTACTACTAGTAAAAGTAGTAATCGTAGACGTGGTCGTCGTAGCCGTAGCCGTAGCTGTCGTAGTAGTAGTAGTAGTAGTAGTAGTAGTAGTAGTAGTAGTAGTAGTAGTAGTAGTGGTAGTAGTAGTAGTAGCAGTAGTAGTAGCAGTAGTAGCAGTAGTGGTAGTAGTCGCAGTAGTAGTAGGTGCACTAGCTGTAGTAGTAGCTGTAGCAGCAGTATCAGTAGTAGTAGTAGTAGTAGTAGTAGTAGTAGTAGTCGTAGTAGTAGTCGTAGTAGTAGTGGTAGTAGTAGTTGTCGTTCTAGTAGTAGCATCAGTAGTAGTAGTAGTAATAGTAGTAGCAGCAGTCGTAGTAGCAGTAGTAGTAGTAGCCGTAGTAG